TGTATATATATATATATATATATATTATATTTAAGATATGAAATGTGTACACAATTAAATATGCAAATATTTTTCGCTAAACGCGCATTAAGCACATTTAATAATCTTATCAAGTTTCAAACATCTTAGATACGTTTTCTTATATATACATTAATTATAAATATATATATATATATATATATATATATATATATATTTTATAATATTATTTATATATAAAAGTTGATGACTGCGTTGTATAAAATTGCAGGGAAATACTTGAAGATAAAATCTCAATGACTTATGTGGCTTTTTATTAACAAACTTTATATATACGTTTATATATATATATATATATATATATATATATATAATTTAGGGTGGTCCTTAATATGGGCATTTTCGAATTTCCTTACTCCCAAGGGCTCAAATGCCAAAAAATCTGAGTAATAGGAAAAGTGAATGAAATATCTTATTTAAAAATTAGAATTCCTGTTCTCTCAAAAACCCGATTTCTATTTTTGTACACTCTTTGCTCCGTATCTCCGAAACGGCTAGATCTGCCTTTCCCAAAAACTAATCACCACTTCTCCCCAACAATACGAATTGAACGTTTTTTTTTGAACCATTCAAATCCCAATGCTCCGTTCACTTAAAAAACCGATTTCTATTTTTGTACACTCTTTGCTCCGTATCTCCGAAACGGCTTGACCTGCCTTTCCTAAAAACTAATCACCACTTCTCCCGAACAATACGAATTGAACGTTTTTTTTTTGAACCATTCAAGTCGGATGCTCCTTTCACTTAAAAACCCGATTTCTATTTTCTCCACCCTTTAGTTTGTATCTCCGAAACGGTTAGACCTGCCTTTGCCAAAAACTAATCACCACTTCTCTCGAACAATACGAATTGAACGTTTTTTTTAACCATTCAAGTCGGATGTTCCGTTCACTCAAAAACCCGATTTCTATTTTCTGCACTCTTTGCTCCGTATCTCCGGAACGGCTGGACCTGCCTTTCCCAAAAACTAATCACCATTTCTCCCAAACAATACGAATTGAACGTTTTTTTTGGACCATTCAAGTCGGATGCTCCATTCCCTCAAAAACCCGATTTCTATTCTCTACACTCTTTGCTCCGTATCTCCGAAACGGCTAGATCTGCCTTTCCCAAAAACTAATCACCACTTCTCTCGAACAATACGAATTGAACGTTTTTTTTTGAACCATTCAAGTCGGATGCTCCGTTCTCTCAAAAACCCGATTTCTATTTTCTGCACTCTTTGCTCCGTATTTCCGAAACGGCTATATCTGCCTTTCCCAAAAAACTAATCACCATTTCTCCCAACAATACGAATTGAACGTTTTTTTTAACCATTCAAGTCGGATGCTCCTTTCACTTAAAAATTTTCTGATTTTATTTTCTCCACCCTTGCTCCGTATCTCCGAAACGGCTGGACCTGCCTTTCCCAAAAACTAATCACCATTCACCCCAACAATACGAATTGAATGTTTTTTTTGAATCATTCAAATCCCAATGCTCCGTTCACT